ATATATATATATATCAGTACCAATACAAACATGTCCGTTAAAATTAATTGCTCGGCAAGCAAATTGACGCCAATAACACTGAATATCAACGGGGAATCTTTTCGTAAACGAATATGGTACAAGGCCATTTCGGTCGAATTAGTTTATTGAAACAAACTGCACATTCAAACGCCAATTTCTCGCTTAGGCAAGCGGGTATCACTTGACGAAACTGCAATTCTCTGTCCACAGGGAGACGAACCCTAAATGTAATGTCAGCAGGCGACCAGGTTATGAGTGATCACGATATCGTTGTTGTTGCTTTTAGCTTTTTTGTTGTTGTTTCTGTTTTTGGTTGCGGGGTATAACTTAAGCAATAGAGTTTCATTGTAAATACAGCATATACAGAGTAATTTTTGCTTGTTAGATAAAGCTAACTGTGTAAATACTGCTTTATCATTGAGTAATTAGGTAACAAAACTGGATAGAGACAGCGAAAAAATTGTAAACAATAATAGGAGGACTGAAAAACATCATCTTAGTTTATTTTGATCTTTTTATTTCGTGTTAAAAATGTTTGAATGTTCTCAAATATAAGTTGTACTTTGTGCTGTGATATTCCCTCGAACGACTGTGGTGAACAGACATCTCTCTGTGTTTTGACTTCATACATGATAGGTAGCAAGGAAGAGCCACCTAGTCATCGATTCTTTGCATAACAGGAAAAAAAAAACGTGTCTGCAAAGAATTTGTTTGTTTGTGATTTTTTTAAAATTAATTTTTGAAATTATGACATCTGAACGGAGTTGTCAACTTCACGTTTCTTTCTTTTCATTTTGTTTTCGTTTAGTTGTTTTCTTCTTCCATTTAGATATATATATATATATATGTTCGGTATAAATTGATATTATAACTATCTCTATGGAAGTTATTGGTGTAAATACAGATAAATGCCTTAATGTGCTTGAACAGTAATTACCTTAAATAAAGTATAATGTTTGTGTTCATTTACCATCTGGCCTGGCTTTGGTTATTTGTGACTTTAGTATTTTTTAGCTGATCTTGGCAGGTGGGTAGGGAAATGACAATGTCGGTATTGTTTGGGCGTTCAGGAATGATTCCAAGTTGTAATCGCTCGGGACGGTTGGCTATTTTTCTCTGTTTAAATCACATTGAGCTAGAGAATATTTCTTGGGCAGGAAGTATAGCCTCCAGGCGCTTCAATTCACGTTTGAAATTTATTCGTTACAAAGGTAGGAAACCACCCAAAACCAGAAAAAAGAAAACACCAAATAAAAATTTACGAAATCGCTTTTCTAGGGATTTATTTGCTTAAAAGCATATCTTCTTTTACCTCCCTGTTGAGATATCTGTCGAGCTTACCACACAGCCTCTCGCTCGTTAGCGAGAGGATTTAATGTCGACTTAGGATGGAAAGTCTTTATTTGCTGAATATAAGCAGGCCTATATATTCTTGGAATGTGATTCTAAATCGCTGTCTGCGGACAATTGCACCTGTGAATCGCGAGACGTTTTTGAGTAAGATTTCAAGAAAAACAACTTAAATATCGCTGTTTTTTTGAAGCTCTCTAGAACCTCTAATTTCATTGGATCTTGTTAGCACGAAGTAGTTCGATTGTTTTAGGGCTAGGGTCCATTGTTACTATTGTTTGTATACCATTTTCTCAGCCAATCCTGTGAGACGTTCCGAAGAGCTTCGTGGCAACCCAAATATGGACGAGCATAGGTCACGTGTATTTGACGTGACAACCAGATGTATTGTTGTGATATAGGCGGGCTCATTTGGAAAACTAAGATTTTAAGTAATGGAGGCTTATAATTTGGGCTTTTAGATCTTGAAATTTTGATGAAGGTAGCATTTTGTTTTTCTTTTTGCATGAACGTATATAATAGACCGCGGTAAGTTCTTCTTTGCCCAAAAATTAAGAAAAAACAAATTGGAAATTTTGTTAAAAGTACAACTGGTGTAACATGAAATGAACACCAAGACTACTGCTTTAATGCTTTATTTAAGGCACACATATTTGTTTTATTACAAATATTTAACATTATGCAAAATAATTCCTTTCAAGACACTAAACGCTCTGCAACTTCATAAACGCTAGGAACGGTTCCAAGTTTTTTTGTCATTAGAACTGGACGGAACATTTGAGACGTGATTCTAACAGTTTTAGACCGAACGGAAATTGTAATGAGATTTTACTGCTGTATCAATGCTCTTAGGTGGCCGCTTGAATTCAAGCTACTGCAATAACATGTTGGCTGGTTGAATAGGCCAATTTTGATATATCACAATTCTCACTGGGTTCTCGACCTCGATGTGGTTTGTTTTGTTTCATTCCTCGAGACCAAGTTAAAATTTAATGCACAAAAAATGACGTATTAAGTTACATTTCAGGAGTTCTTCTTCTGAAATCAGTCCCATGAGAGTACGCAGCTCAAACGAAAGCTAAAAACTACTTTTTTCTAAGCGAAGGGTGATTAGAATGTAAAAGCGGTAAGTGACATCTCTTTACCTGTTAACAGGGCGTTCTGTTAACGGAAGGTAACTATTTGCTGTAATCTGCTTTGATGTCAATATAAGATGGGCATCAGAAACAAAGAGAATTTAACCCCAAGTAAGATCTTCAGCAATGCCGTCGAAAACTAAATTAAGGAAAATACGTCGACTGCTTTTTAGTGTTAGCTGGAATGGGCACAACACTCCTTGTATTGACAATATCTATGCACAGTTACATCTGCGGTTTGTTCACATATGTATGTCTTATTGCCACATAAAAATAAAAAAAAATTGTGACTAGTGTGCAATTGCAGAAGTTACCTAACAATAATTTGTTTTGGTCGCTGAAGAACAAAGAAAACCTCTCCTTTGCTCCTTTTCAGAAGTGATGATCAATTCAGTGAAACTGTTGTGTTAACCTTATCCTGTGTAAAGCCTTATAAATGTTTCGCTAAGGAATAAAATGTGACTGCTGGTAGAGCAGATTTCCATATTCACATCTTTAATCTAGGCGGGGGAGGAAGGAGGATGGGTGCTACTGCTACCTCAACTGTTAAAAAGTGCTATCAATTTCTCCACCTGTTATTAATTACATTATTGCAGTTACAAATTAATGCCCATGGAAATGTCCCTTTTCCACACAGACTGGCCCAGAAGTGGAAGGTTTAATAGCGTTGTTACATTAAAACGCAGTATCGTCCTCTCCTTTGCCCTCAATACTTTCATGATCATCCTTCTCGATCTGCGCGCTTGCCACGTCACCGTTAGTTTCAGTATCCAGGGCTGGTTGGGACCGTGGGGAGTCTTGTACAGGCGCTTCTGGCGTGGCGAGAAATTCTTCCGGAATTCGACTGAAGCGAACCTCGTCATAAGGTGCTTCCTCCTCTACCGGCAAATCGTCATGTATCTCTAGGTAGTCCTACAATATACAATGTGGCGTCAAGAGACAACAGCCCTCATCCTTACAAAGCATGAAAGAGCAAAACCCCACATTAACTTGATTTGAACGTAAACTTTCGTTGAAATGAGATCATCGAATTCTCAAAAATCGTCTAGCGTTTCCCGCCGGTTATGTAAACAAGAAATAACAGGAATAGTGATAATGACAGTCGTGGTTACATGGCCCCGTGGAAAACGAAAAAGAAACCAATCAGAATGAGCGTTATATGACCAGTAAAACTATCAAAATGATAATTATAAACCTTAGCCTTTTCACGCAAGCTTTGGAAGAGGTTCATATAAGAGGGGGAAAATAATGGGTATTATAATACATCTAACGGAGGGGATGGAGAATTAATGAACTGCACGACGAAAAGTTAAATGTTACGTCGATAATAACAACAACTAGATGGAATGAAATCCAGAATGCCAAGATTCAAAGTACGTTGGCCTCTGGGCTGCCCATCTGGTTGGTTCTAAACTCTACTAAAGAGGCTATTACTTCTTTTACTTCCATGATCACTACTGTCCAACAACAACAATAACAACGGCAACACCACCAATACCAACAACTGCAATAGCAACAACAACAACAACAACAACAACAACAGCAACAGCAACAGCAACAGCAACAACAACAACAACGAAAACATCACCATTAACAACAATGACGATGACGACAACAACAACAATGACAGCTACGACAGCGACAGCAACAACAACAATAACAACAAAACACAAACAACAACAGAGACGAGGACAACGATAACAACAATAAGAGCAACAACAACGACGACGAAGACAACAACAACAGTAAGAGTCACAACAACAGCAACGACGAAAACAGCAACAAAAACAACACCAGGAGCAACAGGAACAACAACAGCAGCAACTACAGCAAAAGCTACAGCAACGACAAAAACGACAACAGAGGCAACATCTTGTCCTATTCATATTACTACAGACTCCAGAAGAAAATTCCAAAGAAAATTTGCGCACAAGCCATGTGCTACTTACAGCTTCCGCTGACAACAAACCATCTATGAGCTTCTCAAGCTCCCCGAACGTCGGTCTCTCTTTTGGGTTTGGATGCCAACAGCTCCTCATGATGTCATAACTGAAACATTTATCATGATAAGATGTTATTCAGCGTATTTTTACATAAACAAAAACAGGTAATATCCAGACGTCCTCAATTTCTGTCACTGGTAAAAGGTCGTAGGTATGGCAAGCTTAAGTCTGGGTCGGAGCAAGTAGTCCATACCGCCGGAGCTTAAAGTGCATAAAACTTTCGTACCAATTGATACCTTACATTCCTTCATATCGACTATAAGAAGAAGAGACATAGCATCTTTGCTTGGGGATAATTGTGAAAACTGCCCTTATGTTTATCCTGACCTGACTTCCATGTTTACTTATTAATATT